GATTTGTTCCCCGTGATTCTTTTGGCTCGGTAAATGATGTTTTGACTTCTCGATGTTCTTTTGTTGAACTATTTGAGTGTCTTCTTGATGTTTCGTACGTCTAGAACTATGTGGTAGGATTTCATGTAGGTTTTGGTGTCTTGAATCGTGCTAAGTGTTCAACCTTGTGTTTCGTTGAACCATGATGAGTCTTGTGTGTTCTTCAGAACTATGTTTTGTTTACCCGTTTGATAAGCATGCTAGTTCGGTGTTGAAATGCTAGCATGTGTGGTTTGCTCTTTCCTATTGTGGATGATGACTTGTGTTGATCATCGTTGTTGTCGGATTGTGATCCTTTCCTTGTTGAGTATGGTTTCATATCTTTGTTATGATCCATTGATTGATTCCTATGATGGTGTTGTGTGTGTGGTTGTACCTGGATTGCACGATTAATAGTATGGGACATTAGTCACCAAGGTACGATGTGATTATTGAGTTTGTGACCTGTGTGTCAGGTTCACATGTTTTGGGAGGGCTTCGGTCGTGTGTTGTGATTGGTACCCTCGTGTACTATGAATTGGTGGAAATTGTTGACGGTCGTTGGCGGATGGGAACGACGGTTCCCGGAGAGATAAGGTTGGACTTGGATGTACAGGGGTCCTGGAGGTAATGGTTGGAACTAGCTATAAGGTTGAGGGTAGCCATAAGGTTGGAACTGGGCATAAGGAAGGATTATTGAATTCGTGATGTGTGACGTCACGAAGGCATGTGTTGCCAATGTGTGTTTCTCTATTCGTGACGAGTGATGTCACGAAGGCATGTGTTGCCGATGTATGCTTCTTTATTCTCTTTTGTTGAGCATGTCGGTTAGTATTCTACTGGGTGATGGTAGATTACGCCTTGAGCCTTACTTGTGTTGTCGTTGTCACGTCTTGATGTGTTTTGGGATGTGTTTCCCCTTATCCTTGTTGTGAGTAATATAGAGTCTTGCAGTTGACTTCTATCTTGGGCTTTGAACTGATATATACAGTATTCCGTTTTGAAAATGATTTTGTATATACTATCTATGTATGATACTTAACGCGTATGAATGGGTTACCAGCATTATTCGCTGACCGGGCGTCGTCCCATTTATTTATGTGCTTTTCAGGTCCCGAGTAGTCGGCGAGCGCGTTAGAGATGGCTAGTTTAGTCTCCCAGACCGTTTTAGTTGTGTTTTGGGCCTGTGTGCCCCTTATGCTAGACTTATTAGATTGTTGTTGTTGGTTTTTGCTTGTGCGTTCACATTAGCGTGGACGTGGCATAACACTCTCCGTTTTCTGGCTTTATATATATAGACTTCCGCTGTGCTTTGCTTATGTTTTGTGGTTAGATTATCTTGCTTATTTAAGTTTAAATTGGCATGAAAATCGGGGGTGTTACACTTTTGCTATGTAGATTTTTCGATATACATCGTATAGCGCATCACACAACCCTTTGAGTATATAGTTTTTGCAAAGGAAGTCAGAATGCTTCTAAGCATCCACCGCACTCACGGATTATACATCCTATTCCTTTACCTTAGGAACCCTCTCGATCAAGAACTTTGCCAAGTTGAGAGTTGCCAAGTAAAATACCATCTTTTGCTGCTATTTGTTGAAGTTCGATCCATTGAACTTTTCTGACTTTTCAGTCAAGCCACTTGGCACCGAAATTGGTACTTGCATCGTAGGGATATATCCCTCTGTGCTCCCACTGATCTGTGAACCAACGTTCACCGGTGTTTGGGAATGAGCAACATTATTGCCGTTGCCACCATTGTTGTTACCAACATTTTCATCCCATTGTTGTTGATTGGCAATACGAGGTTCTTCAAATTTTTTTTTTTTAGAGAAAATCAAGGAAAATATGGTTTTACAGGCTTAAAAAATGAGAGGTTAATGGTAAGCTTAAGTCATGTGATACCAATATTATCCTTAAAACCTTATTTTCTACCTCCCTTTGGTACTAGGAGCGTTGTAGCCTAGGTTTCCCAAGATAAAACAAGTTTTGATTTTATGTTTGAGCACTCAAACAAAAAAGCCTGGCAAACTAGAGCTTGGTATAGAACACAGAAAGAAAAAGGAAGAGGAGTAGGGTTTCGAGAGAGAAAGGTTGCATTTTTTTAGTGTGTAAAATTAGGGGTGTGCAATTAGTTAACCGTTCGGTTAACGGAATCATTTTAACCAAACTGTTTTTTTCAAAATTTTTAAAGGTTTAACCATTCACTGAACTGAACTTTGTATTACCGAATTAATCGAACTGAAGTTTTTTTTGGTTAATCGGTCGGTTAACCGATGTTTTTTAAGGTAAAGTTTTAAAATTTTAAAATAATACCTATAATAATAAATCCATAACAAATTATACAAACACAACACCATAACAACACTACAAAAGCACAAATTATAAAGTCCAAACATCCATATATATATATATATATATATATATATATATATATATATATATATATATATATATATATATATATATATATATATATATATATATATATATATACATACATATATATGGTAGGGTTCCAGTGAGAACATGTGCTTAGGTGAGAGCATGAGAAAACATCATGTGCATCCATCTAATATTTTTTAATAGTATAGATTAGATTATGTGTGCGCGAACGCGCATTAAATGTGTGCAAACACACTTAATCGCGTTTGCACACATTTAATATGCGTTCGCACACACTTAATCTAATCTAGAGCATTAAAAAATATTAGATGGATGCACATAATTTGTTCTCACGTTCTCACCTAAGCAAGTGTTCTCATTGGAACCATATATATATATATATATATATATATATATATATATATATATATATATATATATATATATATATATATAGGGTGAATCAACGATTTGGTCCCTCACTTATTCGCGACTTGTCAATGTTTCCCCTGAATCACGTATTCATCGATTTAGTCCCCGAAAATAATTGTTTTTCGTCAAATCAGTCCCTATGGCCGTATTCCGTCAAGTCTCAGGCGAGAACTCCGATTTGCCCTGGGCATTTTGGTATTTTCACGCCTTCTTCTTCATTCCATCGTCGCCGACGTCAGCTTCACCTCCGATGATGAGTTGTTGACCCCAAACGTCACTCTCCGGCGAGTCATCCAGTCGTGGTGCCGGTTTGCTGCTTCGCCGGGAGGGATCAACTACCAGGGACCCACCACTACCGTCTCTGCCTTGCCGGGAAAAGGGGAGGTCGACGCCGCCATGTCTTGAGCAAGGGTCGCCGGAAAAACGAAGCTAAGCTTGCCACGCCGCCGCCGATCTATTTGCTTCGCTGGAAAAAAAAGAGGGGCGGAGGTCGCTGCTCCGATCTGCTGCTTCCGCCTCTTCGTGATTCCACCAGAGAGAGGGAGGGGAGATGTAGGTCCATTGACCTTGTCTCGCCGTCGGATGTTGTTGAAGCCGTACGTGAGTTAGCCAAGAGAAGAAGGGAGAGAGACGAGGTAGATAGGGATTTGTTTGGTTGTTGCTCAGCTTTTACCGAGAGAGAAGAGAGACGGAGCTAGCCGCCGCCTGTCGCCGCGATCTGCCGGGGGATCGCCGGCGCTCGCCGTCGGAGGAGAGGAACGAGAGAGAGAGCTAAGATGGAGAGATACGGTAGAAAAGGGTTGTTTGCTGAGATTCTCAAATTGCATGCTAAGGAATGGAAGAATTCTCCTTGTTTACCATTGGATTTGATTCATAACACCATAGGTGTTAATTAGGCAAGCCATTGGAGGTGCAGCTGACGTCGGCGGAAGAGATGGAGCTCCCTCCGGCGAGCTTGAGCTTCTCTGGCGAGTTTGGTCAGAGTTAATGAAGAAGAAGGCGTGAAAAGACCAAAATGCCCGGGGCAAATCGGAGCTCTCGCCTGAGACTTGACAGAATACGGCCATAGGGACTGATTTGACGAAAAACAATTATTTTCGGGGACTAAATCGATGAATACGTGATTCAGGGGCAACATTGACAAGTCGCGAATAAGTGAGGGACCAAATCGTTGATTCACCCTATATATATATATATATATATATATATATATATATATATATATATATATATGAGATCTTGACTATGATCAAAGGATTGTCGAGAGGAAGCAAATAGCATTATGTTGTGAAAGGGTTCGTGTCACTATGGCTGTGCAACCGGTTAACTGGATCGTTTTAAAACTTTAACCGTTAATCGAATCGAACTTTGTATTATTAAATTAATCGAACAGAATTTTTTTCAGTTAATCGGTTGCTTCACCGAATTTTTTTAAACAAAAATTTTAAATCTTAAAAATAATACCTATAATAATAAATCTAATTAAAATAATACATATAATATTAATTAAATCCATAAGAAAATATACAAAAATAATACCATAATAACATTATATTACAAATATATCGGGATTTTACCTATTAGATTATATATTTATTTATTTATATACACATTTAAAATTTCGGTTAACCGTTCGGTTAATTTGATTAAACGACAGTTTTGAACCGAATTAACCGTTAACCAAAATTTTAAAAAACCTTTAATCATTAACCGAATAAAAAAAAAAATCGGTTAAAAAACAACTAACCGAACTTTGTCAGTTCGATCAGTTAACCAAAAATTTACTGAAGTTTGCACACCCTTACGTGTCACTTGTACTTGTGTAATCAAAATACATAGTGAAATCCCTCATTGAGTTAACAAGAAAAGTAGTGTAAGAAAATTAACGAACCAAACCAAGCTAAAAACAAACTTGGCAAGTCAAAGAATTCCACTGTAAAACTAGCAAATTTACAAAAGTTCAATGTTTTAAAAGGTCAATGTTATTGACTTCCAGAAGTTGTAGCTTTGAAAGCTCATCAATGAAACGCTTGTTCGTTTGTTCAAAAAAAAAATAAAAATTATTCAACCTCACTCGCACCCCTTTCTCCCTAGAATTTTACTTCCTCGAGACCAAAATCAATTCTTAGCTTGATTGCCTCAATTCATATACTTCAACATATGAGTATCATTGTCAATAACTTAATTTTTATTTCCTCTTGAAATAAGCATCAACTCAAGATTATTAATACATAGTGTTATCAGATATAGGAATTTCAAAGTATGCACCACATCATTCTAAGTGAAGTTCCCATAATAGTATCTTGATTCTTACTTAATACATTGTCTTGACAGATATAGGAATTCTGACATTATGCACTCCATCATTCCAAGTTAAGCTCCCAAAATAGTATCCGGTGTTGGAGGGATAGCTCGTGGAAATTTTTACACTGAAGGAGATCTTCCTGACATTGGGACTAAAGTTTAATGTACTTGGCGTTACGGCTACTGCTATTCCCTTTGGAGGTTCAACCATAACTTTGTATAAAGAGTTTACAGGTCCAACATTTGTCACGGTTCTAGTGAGAGTGATTGATCCCCTTAGATTTGGTATGGTTATCGAAGGAAAATTCACATCAAAAATGGAAAGCCCATTATTGCAAGATATGTTTTGTCCTGCAAGTCCAGTAATGACGCTGCTGTCATATCCCATGGCACATAGAGACTGAAGATAATCTGTTGTGCTCATGTCGTAGATGAGGCCAGGATATCTTGCTTTGTTGGGGTTTATGATCCCTCCCCCATGGTCAAATGCATCTGCCAACTTACTAATTGTCTCTCCTTCATTGAATATAGGTTGTCCAGATGATGGGTCACTTGTCCATGCTGCAAATTAAACATATAATACATATATATTTGAAAGTATTTTAAAAAATGGGAATAGGATTACCATTTACTTATGAAAATGTAAGAATTGTACAAAACAAACCTGTTGTGACAATTGCGGATTTTATAGCTGCTGGAGACCAATTTGGGTTAGCAGCTTTGAGTAGTGCTACTATTCCTGCCACATGTGGTGTTGCCATAGATGTTCCACTGATCATCTTATATGTACTTACTGGGATAGCAGGATTTTTAGGAACATATGCTGCTAATATATTTGTTCCTGGTGCAGCAATATCTGGCTGCAAATTGTTGTAATATCAAAAGGTTATACCAATGTTGAGCATTTATGTCCTGAAAACTTGAACTTCAATTCCTTGAGTTAGCAAAATACTACATATCGAAATCATACCTTAAGTATAGCCGGGGCTATAGTATAAGGGCCACGCGATGAGTACTTGGCTATGACACTTGAGATTGGTTTACCAATTTGAGTTTTGGATGGACTTAGCTGCACCTTTGGGTATCTGAACTTATGGTTTCATTATTAGTCACTTAAATATGCAAGCTAAGGCACAATTTTATTGCAATTATAAAAGGATTTTTGTTACTAAATGTGCATATATACCTTCTAGATGTGATATAAAAGAGTATTTTAGTTCCAATCTCGTAATCAACTTGAACACTAGGAAAGTAATCATCATATACATCTAGTAATGTATATGGCTTTTGTGACACAATAATTCCAACACCATCAACTTCACTCACAATACCCCGAGCTTGCACTACAATACTTGCTACATCACGATCTGAGCGATGCGTTCCAGTAAAACACAACACCACTTTTCCAGTTATCCATGTATCATTTGTAGATAGGCTTTCACAATGCCTACACAATACAAAAAAAAAAAAAAAAAAAAAAAAAAAAAAAAAAAAATTACATAATATTCAAGTAGGCTAGCAATATATATAGTGCAGTACTAGGAATTGAAGTATCATACCTAGGGGCAGCAACCAAGTCGACAATGCCTGTGTCTTTCCCTATGAACAATGATTGACCCTACATATATAAAGCAATCTTTGTATTATTACTATGGTACGGTGTAAATTAAAATAGTAGAGTTTTTGTAATTGAATGAGAACCATATTGCTGACGGGCAAACTACACAATCAGGCATGCATATATTTAGGTGGTCGGAAATTTCATAATTTCCAGCAGTGACGGATCCTTATCTACATATATAATATATATTTACCATGAAGGTTTGACCATTTCCAAGTGTGATTGGGGTAGGGAATGCTCTATCAGGTGTATTAGCAGCAACGGTTATTATCCAGGGCTCCCCATTACACACAGTTTGAGCAGCAGGCCCATCGTTCCCTCCTGCAGCAACCACAGTGATTCCTTGTTCAACAGCGTGAAAAGAACCTAAGCTGGTTGCACCATCTTGAGGGTGCAGTTCAGTATATAAAGGCACCTCAGGCCCAAATGATGCAGATATCATATCAACTCCGTCATTAATGGCAGTGTCAAAGCCCATGAGAATATCGGCTTCTGTAAATGTGCCATCTTCCCAACCTATCTTGTAAATAGCAAGCCTAGCCCGAGGTGCACCGCCCCTAAATGTTCCTAATGACAGTCCATTGTAGCTCACATTGGGCACAGGTGAACCAGCTGCTGTACTAGAAGTGTGAGTGCCATGCCCATTTGAGTCCCTTGGAGAGATGTAGTCAAGAATTCCTGTATAATTTTTAGGCTGTTGTCCTTTCTCAGCCAGGTACCCTTCAATGAAGTACCGGGCTCCAATTAGTTTTTTATTGCAATGCTTCTTGGGGTCGAACATCTGTCCAGACTCACAGTAGCCCTTCCACTTTGAAGGAATTGGGCCTAATCCGTTATCATTGTAGGCTTCATTCTCCGGTGTCACTCCTGCATGCGGCCACGTAGTAGTATTTATGTACTAAGGCTAACAAGAATACACTAGGAGTACAAACCATTATTATTCCATGGACCATAAATAAAAAGTATATTTTTAATATATATTAAAAATACATTATTTTTTTTATATATTATCAAATAATGTACTTTTAACATATTAAAAATGTATATTGCATTCATTATACACACAGCTATGTGAATCATGGTCCACACGATAATGTGTCGAGTGCAAAGAAATGGCAATTTATATTGTGGACCAGGGTCTACATAGTATTGTGGACCCTGGATCAAAACAACATTGTTTTTATTTTGAGCTTTAACAGATCTTGTAGTTTCCCGTTTCTTATGTTTTGACACAAATTTTAATTTATTTTAGGTACAGAATCAATACTCTTAACATACAGAATTGTATAACATGAGACACTAAAATGCATAACACAAAGACATATACGTATGCTTTACAGTATATAAAACATGTAAAACAAACAGTCGTCGTCAAAATTAAAATTCAAAACTGTCTTTTGGGATCAGGAATCCTGGTCCACGGTATAATGATTGCAAAGAAATATGAGTACTGGCAAGGCCTAGGAGTGCACCTGTATCTAAAACAGCAACGATGATACCATCACCCATCTTACTATCGTGCAGCAGGTTAGTGGTAGAGTTTAAGAATAGGCCCAGATAATCCCAACTCCTGGTTGTTCGCAACTTGTAAAAGGAATTAGGAATGACTTTAACAACACCAGGAATATCTACAAAAGTCATCGTAGGTATTTTGCAAAAAAAAAAAAAAAAGAGAGTTAAAAAGTACTAAAACGTAATCGATTCAACATCTATCTATATATCCCCTTTTCAAATATGGATAAAAGTTTATGTATAACCTGCAACAGCTTGAGCTTGAGACTTGGTCATCATAGCTGCAAAACCAGAGAAGCCATGCCTGTAGCTGTAAATCATTGAAGCTGCTGCTTCTTCTGGGCTGCATTAATTAATTAATTAATTAAGGTGATCTGATAAAAACATATTGCTAAATGACTGCTGTCTAGGAATTTAACTCTACTGTGTAGAAACCAACTAATTAACAGAAGAACCTTCCGAGGACAGTAGCAAGCATATGATGGTGACTAGAAGTGGTGAGCTCCACATCATCGTGCTGCCTCGCTCCCATATACACAATGTAAACCTGTCACGTTGTTAGGGAAAATGAGAATATATGAAACATCATATAAGTGAAGATTTTAACAAAATTGACCAATTTTAAATAGATCATATCGAGTGTATGTGATTAGAATCACAGACTTTGGTTTCAAGCCCTGCCACGGCACACACTAGCACATTTAGGAAGAGAAGCACAGCGACGAAGAAAAGTTTGAATGGAACGAATACGCTTTGATTCGTATACATATTTTAGTAAAAAATAATAATTCAAGAAAGTGTTTGAGCTTGGTTTCTTCTCCTTCCCGGCACCAGTATTTATAGGAGAAATGGATAGAACAGGTCACATTTCAATTGGGAGAAGAAAACTAAAAGGATTTTTTTTTTTTTTTTTTTTTTTTTTAGAAAAATGACACTTTTTTCTTCTTGAATTATATGTTTATAGCACATTTTTCCTAATTATTCATGTAAGCATACCCCTGATATATTAAATTGACATTTCTACTCTTAAAGTAAATATTTTATTTATTTTTCTTTTCCAACAAATTATTGCTTATACGTAGGATGACCACGGTTCGGTTCGAACTGAAAAGGACACTATATATAGCAATCGAATTGAAAGTTTTCGATTATGATTCAGATCCAAAACCTAATATTTGGATTTCAGTTTATTAAATCATGAATCGAAAAAAGTGGATCCTGAACCGTGAACTGGCGGTTCGAATTGGAACAACTACTAGCATTAGTTTAAAATTAGAATTATAATATTTACAAATAGTATATGTTTTTTTTTTTTTTTACATTTACTCTTATTCTCACAACTATACTATACTAATAAGAGCCCAAGAGAGTTAGGCCTATAATGGACAGAAAAAATGACGGTAAAATTGTTTAATCAAATGAATTGATCAGATTTTAATTTTTACTTAAGATTTCCTAATTTATCCTTAATGAATATGATTATGCATTAACTTTTCCGTTAAATATTATCTTTTCCGTTAATTTCTGTTAGTTCACTGTTAACTCACTCATTGATTTCAATAAGAAAGGTCTTAGGTTCGAACCTCATCCCAATCAAAGTTAGCATAATTAGTACTCTATTTTACTCTTATTAAATTAAATAATAATTTAGTAGCTATAACAAAAAATAATACATATGCATTCCTTTAATTTAGAATTATGTGTCTACAATGTCTTTATTCAATTAAAAAAAAATTATTCATTATCAATAAATTAAATAAGAGAAATAATTTCATTAGTTATATTGTCTTTATTTTTCTCCAATATAAGAATTCTTTACATTCAAATTCATCAATTGATTATATTCACTATATTGTCCCTACAATGTCTTTATTAAAACAAAAAATTATTCATTATCAATAAATTAATTAAGAGAAATAATTTTATTAGTTATATTGTCTTTATTTTTCTCTCATGTAAAAATTCTTTACATTCAAATTCATCAATTGATTATATTCACTACATTGTCTATTATCTTTTTTGTGCACTATTTTTTTTAATTAAATATCAAAGTTATAATACAAAATAATGTTATATATTTATTTACCAAGTATTTTATTAATACCATTAAAAAAATTTTAAACATATAATTAATAAAGCCAATCATATTAACTACTTGAGAGATTTGTTGACAAAGAGAGTATTCAAATCATACAACAAATTGAAGTGAGAACTATCTCGCAATGTCCTTCTTTGACAATCAGCAGTTAGCGGTTAGCGTTAGCGGTTAGCGTTAGCGGATTTGACCAGGCGACCAGCGAATTATATCAATGGTTGGTAAAAAGATATTTGAAAAAATTAGCTGTTTAGATTAACATGTAAAATGACCTAAGGGTATAATAATAATAATAATAATAATAATAATAATAATAATAATAATAATAATAATAATAATAATAATAATAATAATAATAATAATAATAATAATAATAATAATAATAATAATAATAATAATAATAATAATAATAATAATAATTGTTTCTAAAAAATAAAAAAAATATATATAAAAATATAATTAAGCCAATCATATTAACTACTTGTGGTATTTATTGACAAAAAGAGTATTCAAATCACATAACAAATTAAAGTGGGAAACTACCTCGCAATGTCCTTGTTTGGCAATCTGCAGTTAGCTCTTCAATATTAGTATATATTTAATATTTTATGTCCTAATTTTTATTTGCTTTACCTTATGTCTCGTATTTGGTTTCAACCATACCTATACAATTATTTTATTGACAATTATAATCAATCTTGACTATATTATCTTGCATTTATAAACTTAGAATTACCTATTTAAATACACAAATTCAACATTCAACTATCTATACATGAACAATTCCAATATAATCTTGCATTGATATACTTTAAAGTACTTATTTAAAAAAAAAACAACAACAACATTGGGCATTATCCCAATCGCAATGCGCATAAAAAACTAGTATAAGTATATATGACCACAATTTGGTTTTGATTTTGAACCGTCGGTTCACGGTTCCGGATCCAGTTTGAACTACTGGTTCAAACTTTATTTTAAAATTTTTATTTTTATTTTTAAAATAGTCTAAATTCAACAATAAATGTATTTTATTTTTTTCAGTTCGGAACATGAACCAACCGTTCCGGTTCGTAATTTTAATAAACTCTAAATATCGGGTTTTGATTCTAAATTGTAATCGGAATATTTCGGTTTGATTGCTAAAGTGTCTGTTTGGTTTGAACCAAATCGTGGTCATAATTTGTTGGAGAAGACAAATAAATATATTTATTTTAAGGGTAAATATGTCCATTTAACATTTTAGAAGGAAAAAACTGTCACTTGAATAACTCAAGGAGAAAAAGTGCTATAAATATAAAACTGTTGGGAAAAAAAAAAGTGTTATTTTCCCTTTTTTTAACAAAAAAAAATTGCCATTTTGGAAGAATCATAAGCAAATAATCAATTCGATGCTCAATAATTAAGTCTTATCAGATTGTGGTTCGAGTTGTCATGACAGAATTAATCCCTAAAGTGATAGATGGAAATGTACGTAAATTTTAACTATAAAACGTTTAATGCTCTATTATTATTAATACTAGTATTTTCACCTGTGCGATGCATGGAATGAAATTGTTGTAATATATTAAAAAAATTTAAATCGATATATAATTATTTAAGAGTTAATTTCACCAGATGTCGTTATCTTTCCTGACAATTTCAAATTTAATCATCGACTATAGTTATTAATTATTACGATTTATTTTATGTTATAATTCTTACGTTAATATTCTTACTATTATTATTAACACTTAATTACTTTTAGATATTATTATTACCACTTATATTATTATTATTATTATTATTATTATTATTATTATTATTATTATTATTATTATTATTATTATTATTATTATTATTATTATTATTATTATCAGTTTCTTTTCAAGTTCTGTTGGTATATAATGGTCGTGAGGCACAATAATAATATAATCATAATTAATTATTATTGTATTGTATTTCGTGAGTTACAATAATAATATTTTGAAGAGAGATTTTTTAGGAATTAGACGGAAAGTTAAAAATTCAGGATTTTATTTTTATATATAGCAAAGTTGAAAAAATCGTTAGGCGCCCTCTAGACCCCTGGGGACCGCCTATAGCGATTAATCGGCGCCTAAAGTGCCTAGGCAGGCGCCTAGGTGGCCGACCGCCTAGCGCCTAGGCGCCGATTAATCGGTGCCTAGGCCCAATTTTTGCAACACTATTATATAGTATAAATTACAATAGGAATTGTATTACACTATTTTATAATATTAGAATAGAATTTTAACCCAGAATTATTGTTCGAATGGGAAAGTAAAAATCAATATATTCTATTAGGAAGAGAGATTTTTTAGGAATTGGGTGGAAACTTAAAAGTTCACGATTTTGTTTTTATATATAGTATAGATAGATTACAATAGGAATTGCATTACACTATTTTATAATATTATAATAGAATTTTAACCCAGAATTATTGTACGAATGGGAAATTAGAAATCAATATATTTTATTTGGAATAGAGATTTTTTAGGAATTGGGCGGAAAGTTAAAAGTTTAGGGTCTTGCTTTTAGAGATAGTATAGATTACAATAGGAATTGTATTAAATTATTTTATAATATTAGAATAGAATTTTAACCTAGAATTATTGTACGAATGGGAAAGTAGAAATCACTATATTTTATTAGGAAGAGAAATTTTTTAGGAATTGGGCGGGAAGTTAAAAGTTCAGGATTTTATTTTTATATATAGTATAGAAGTATAGATGTATAGATTACAATAAGAATTGTATTATACTATTTTATAATATTATAATAGAATTTTAACCCAGAATTATTATACGAATGCGAAAGTAGAAATCAATATATTTTATTAGGAAGAGAGATTTTTTAGGAATTGGGCGGGAAGTTAAATGTTCAGAATTTTGTTTTTATATATAGTTTATATTACAATACGAATTGTATTACACCATTTTATAACATTTGAATAGAATTTTAACCCAGAATTATTGTACGAATGGGAAAGTAGAAATCAATATAATTTATTAGGAATAGAAATTTTTTAGGAATTGGGCGTGAAATTAAAAGTTCAGGATTTTGTTTTTAAAGATAGTATAGATTACAATAGGAATTGTATTACACTATTTTATAATATGAGAATAGAATTTTAACCCAGAATTATTGTACGAATGGGAAAGTAGAAATCAATATATTTTTTTAGGAAGAGAGATTTTTAGAAATTGGGCGGGAAGTTAAAAGTTCAGGATTTTGTTTTTAGAGATAGTATAGATTACAATAGGAATTGTATTACACTATTTTATAATATTAAAATAGAATTTTAACCCAGAATTATTGTACGAATGAGAAAGTAGAAATCAATATATTTTATTAGGAAGAGAGATTTTTTAGGAATTGGGTGGGAAGTTAAAAGTTCAGGATTTTATTTTTATATATAGTATAGAGTATAGATGTATAGATTACAATAGGAATTGTATTACACTATTTTATAATATTAGAATAGAATTTTAACCCAGAATTATTGTACGAATGGGAAAGTAGAAATCAATATATTCTATTCGGAAGAGAGATTTTTTAGGAAATGGGTGGGAAGTTAAAAGTTCACGATTTTGTTTTTATATATAGTATAGATAGATTACGATAGGAATTGTATTACACTATTTTATAATATTATAATAGAATTTTAACCCAGAATTATTGTACGAATGGGAAAGTAGAAATTAATATATTTTATTAAGAAGAG